AGAGAGGAAGAGAAGGGGAAGAAGGGAGGGAGGGAGAGAGAAAGAGAAAGAGGAGAGAGATCTGGAGAGGAAGAATCTGAAAAATATCTCAAAAGTTCCTGTCTCAAAGTTAGCAAAGCAGCCTTTGAAGCTCTACTGCCTTCCTCTGAGGCCACAGTTATCTTTCCAAGTCTCCAATGCCAGGCATTGGCTGAAAAGCTCATGTACTTCTGTTTTACTTGGCTCCTTCTTGAATTCTGGGGAAGTAAGAGAATTCTCTAGTTGTGCATGCTCGGATTTTCTGAACTGCTGCACCAGCTTCTAGAGAATTTAGGGAAAATAATCTTGACTTAACATTTTAGAAAGTGGAAGTCAGATTTTTGGGGAAAATCTTCAGTCCCATAGTATATGCCACTGTACTGTATTAAATAGAATTAATATCTCCATTCTGAAAGAAAAACTCTTCTGTTGATTCATATATTCCTAATTACGGTGCATCATGGTGATTAATTCAAAACAGGCACCAACTTATTTAGAATGGAAATATATTTTAATATATTTTATCCAAACGGAAATACATTTTATCAAACTTGCCTCTATGAAACACTATCTGAGCAAGGAAAAACACTACAGATGTAGACATTGGGCCAGGGAGTGCCATAGCACACAGTCGTTAAGATCATTTGGGAAAAAATAAGAGTTCTGGATGTGTTTTTGGAGTTCAGAGAGCCCTGAGTCCAGAGCAATCCAATTGATAAATATTCAGCTCTCCAGTTCCTAGGAGAGGTATGCATCCCAGGGCCAAATCACTAGTCCTCTTGATATGAGTATGTAGGAGAGGAGAGGAGGACTGAGGAGGCTGGTGCCCTTAACAGTGTTCCCTGAGGAAGGATCCCATCCTACCCTTCTAGGCTGGGAGCTGCTGTCTCACAGATAAAAAGTGGCCCAAGGGGTCCGGGCTGTAGCTGGGCAGGGACTCCATTCCCCAGACAGCACTAGTATAACCTCCCAGAATTAGTGAGTACCTCCAGAATCACAGACTGCTTTGAATTTGACTGAGTCTGGGCCCCAGTGTGTGTGGAAAGGAAGATCTCCTTCCTCTCTCCCCCTTGGTAATCATTGGTGTTGCCGTTTCATCTCCCACTCCTCAAAAGCCAGTCCTCATCTACAGAGAAAGTTTACTCCCCCACACACTCCAGCCGCTGTCAATTGCACTTTATTCAGTACCTCCCCACACCCAGTCCTAAGCACTTTCCCATGGTGTTCTTCCCCCGCCTGTGAAGTCGTTATTGTCCTCTCACATTTTATCATGGAGAAGATGGAAGCAAGGCTCAGTGAAAGCTCCTGGTGGTGGATGAGGCAGCCAGTGTGTATCCCCTTGTTTGAGGGTGCCATCTGTGTGCAGAGCCCGTCTACATGACCTCATGTCATTCTGGCTCCCCTTAATCCATCCATTTCAGCGCTGAACAGACAGAAACATCAGTACATCATGCAGGGTTTAAGTGGCTGAACCACAGGATGATCTGCGCTAACTGCTATTTTTCAAGAAGAAGGAAGACTTCTTTTAGAAAAGAATAGCTTTACTGGATTAAAGTGCGAGGTAACCAGGCCAGTAGTTGGTGTCTGAATAGAGTTCCAGAGATACCAAATCAGCTGACATGCTCCTACTTTGGAGGCCCAGTGGGTACCTGATAGAGCATTTATACATACAGCAGTGGATCACAGCCCAAGTGCCTGGTAGAAGGCCCGGGAGCTTTGAAAACCACCCGTGACCAGCCACCCTGTCACCCACCCAACATGGTGCTTGGAGGGTACCCAGGCTGCTCCTCAGAGTGACAAGGTCCCACTGGGCTCTGCTTCTGTCAGCCTCTGTAATTATAAGTATCCCCTTGTAATTATAGGAATAGGTCTGGTAGTAAAGAGAGATCCATCTTCCTTTTTGATGATCTCTTCTTTACATGCAGGTCCGAAGTCTTTAGAGGAACCAGACAGGTGACCAGTAGAAAGTCTTCAATTTAGAAGTGAATCAGTCAACAAATGTCTGACCAAAGAACACACGAAAAATGATGCACTAGCTTTGGATCTTCACTAGTGGCATGGACAGACAAATGAAAGTTCATAAACAGTCTCCTCCAGGCTGTAGGGGTGAAATCCTTTCTCCTTATCATGCCCTAGAAATAGCTCCTGAAGAAG